TTTTTATAGTGTTATTGTTCTTGCACAAACATTAAATATTCAGAAAAGTATTGTTTGTCACTGGAAAATGTAAAATTGGATCGAAACAGCGTCATCGCTATGTACGCAAGTTTGCGAAAAGTCTGCAAATAACTAAACTATTTACATATAAAACAGTTATTATACTCCATTGGACAATTCGCATTAAACTGTGAGTAAAAGTAATTTAAGTAATACAACGGACACAGTCCACAACACTGCACGCTTTAGTTTACGCTCCGTGGTATGTAACAAATGATCCATAAAAATGCTTAAATATCAACACTAAAAATGAAATTAAACGTAGAAACGAAATTAGAAAATCACATAAAAATGTTGGACCCAGTTTGTATTTCATATTAAAAAACATAAATAGCAAACGATACGATAAATTCTTTCAATGGTCAGAAAAAAAATATCATGAATGTAAAAGTTCCTCCCCAGTTTCCCAAAATGTAAATGATATATATATGGATCTGGTATATTTGGCTTTTATGTTGTTTTTTTTTTCATAACTTAATATTGTGATATTTATATCAATTATTGATAAAGGCAAATTCAGTAGTGGCGGATTGATTTTCACTTGGCAATATAGATCTTAAAAATGTTTCCAAGTGAAAATAATCATTCGTGGGAACTGCAGCACCAATTTGAATAATGAGCCCTACTAAATGGATCAACCGTTGGGTTACTATCTAAAATACGACGCAAGTAGAAGTTTCAGCCCAACAACTTTCAGGACATAAGGTTCTGATTGCTCTTGGAAGATGAAAAAAAAGATTTTTTTAAGTTAACTATTATAGAACAATTATATTGTGAAAACCAAACCAATTACATCACAACAAATACCTCATATCAAACAACTATCTGATTAAGTTCAGTCGAACTCCAAGCTAATATATTGCTATTTGTTACTTGTACCTTTTTACTTCATAGGGGTAACAAGGAACAGTCATGGAGCAAAAGGATTGGCCATTTTATTTTTAATTTCAAAGAGGTCTTATAATTTCCAAAAGGGATGATAGCTGCATCATTTAATTAATACAATGCAGCTTAAATTTTAGGTTGAATAATAAAATTAAAAATAAAAATTTAAATATGTATTTTTAAACATAATAAACAAAAAAATATCATTTTTTACTACTATCATAAATCTTGCTCACGTAGGTATTTCTTGCTAATTTATTATAATCAGACTCATTCTATATCAGAATACAATTATTACAAATGAAGTCAATACAACTTCTGTGCGAAATACATATTTTATGGGCACAATATTTACAAATATCGCACTGGATACAACCTTCATATGGTACTTTGTCACAAGCATTTATCACCAGTGTTGAATTAACTATTAATTTAGTTTATCTTGTATACAATTGTTTTTTTAACTTATGTTACATTTTTATTTACTTGTTTCTCTCGTCAGTATAAAGTTTTAGATGGTCTTTTTTACCCTAATCACATGTAAACCATCTTGCACATCTTATACATCTATTAAATAATATATACTAGAAAATTATAGGGTAGATCGGGGCTCGAAGTCCGCCGATGAAAAGGTCGACAACCGATATCTCAAAAACAAGTAAAATATTTGCAAGAAGGAAAAAGATGTATAACCAGACATTACCTTGATTCTTACGACGTTGCTATCTGAATGAAATTGAAATGGATTTTCAAACATTGCCGTTTTTAAAGTATACTCTTTATAAAGTTGTTAGTTTTTTTTAATTGTTCAATTTACGATACTTTAATATAATTTTTAGTAGGTATATGTCATTTAACTGTTTTATACATTTTTTTGTTAATTTTAAGGTAAATTCAACAGTTCTTTTAAAAGCTTACATGTGGGTGGGGATAAAAAGACCAACATAACCTTTACCCTGGCCAAGGTGTAAACAAATAAAAATGGTAAATAAAAAAGTAAATTAAGTTAAGAAAAGCAAGTTTACAAGATGAAATTGAAATAAATAGTTATTCCAGCTGCGCTTAAAATCTCTTTAAAATTAAAAATAAAACATTGGGCCTGAGATAACTGTTTGAAAAACAGCGAAAAAACACACACAGAGAAAATAAATTATCTTAATTGAATTTAAAAAAAAATGAATTAAAAATTAAATTAATTTACAGTAAAATACAACACTAAAACCATATTAAGCCTAACATTAGTATTATGCAATGTAATAACTTAAAATAAAATGTTGTGATATTGAGATAGTTTATTTAAGGCTTGTAGATCTTGAGATTCTTCTGATGGTAATAAAAATCCTTTAAATATCTGTTGCGCAATTTTTTATTTAAGTCCCAAATCTAGAAAATAATAATTAAGAGCAGTATAATGAAAATAATATAATATAAACATAATCGTAATGATAAAAAACTTAGGATAGGTAAATGTTAAAATAATTTGAAATTAAAATTAGAAAAAATATGGAAAAAGGAAAAAATGATTAGAACTATTGAAAAAAAAGTTAAATCAGTAGGTAGGCAATTCATTAACAAAATGAACGAATTGATATTTAATATCGAATATTTATTTGATATCGAACTTGGCAAATTCAGAAGTATCGTAGAAACTTTGGGCTTTTAAAAGTTTACTGGATGGTATGGATGGTATTGTGAAATTGACTTAATATTTTTGAGATGGTGGACTTTTTTACGCGCGGATCTTCAACCCCCGCTCTGCCATAACATATTTTACCTTTATTTCTTAAATTTTCCTAATCTTACTTTTTTCTTAACGTTTATTAATAATCTTTAACTTCCCGTAGGGTAAGTTATAGTAATCGGAAAAAAATCGAAAATGAAAATATTTATATATCTTTCCGTTTCAAACGTTTCTGAACATTTTAGCATACCTTATAATTAGAAAAAATGGATGTATGTGTGTGTGAGTGCGTGTGTATATTTGGATACAATTTTTGTCCATGATTTCGGGCGCACGAATCAACCGATTTAAATGATTCAAAAAACATTCGATACCTACTGATGAAGCGACGTGCTGATTAGTTTTTGGCGAAGACAGGTCCAGCCGTTTTGAAGATACGGGGCAAAAAGTGCTAAAACTGGTAATTAAGTTTTTGAGGTAACGGAGCGCCCGATTTGAATGATTCAAAAAACATTTTATATAGTAGGTATATATAAACATTTTATATATTATATATATTTGTATTGACGAAATGAAGAATTGATTAAATTTTTGTGTAGGCAGGTCTAGCGGTTTCGGAGATACAGAGAAAAATGTAAAAAAAATGATATTTGGCGGTCTCAAATAATCAATAGACATATGCACATCAAATTATCATATATTTTATAGATGTTTTAATAATAAGAAAACTTTTTTTAAACAAATTTCAAAATCTTCAGAAAAATTTTTAGTTCAAAATTTTCAAAAATATACAAAGTTTTATATTTCAAATATAAATTTCAAATTGACAATTCAGTTTAAAACTGTATATATTTCATATGCGTTATTCTACTCGTAAGAAATATATCCTCAGATGGATTCATTTAAAATTTCTTCTTAATGTAAACATTTTCAAGTGTTTTAAATGATAAGATCGTCACTGTATATTATATGAACGAAAAAATATGTAGTAATTATAATTATCTCTTTAAAAATACCAGTTCGTATTGGTATTTTGCCTTGAGGCAAGTTACGTGAACTTCCCGATATGTGTTAAATCGACTTAAACAATAAAAAATGAATTAATTTATGAGTGATTAAAAGTATTCTGAGTGGATTTATTACATATAATTGAAAAAAACGAACACGTTAACTCGGAGTATTTTCTGAAAGCAAATTTTCACAAATCAATAATTTTTATAATTGAACCAGTTTCCATAGGACTTTTATGGTTTAGTATGTTCATTAAGATTAAGTACTCTATCGTTATATCAAGTAAATCGTCCAATTTTAATTTTAACAAACCTCAATAAAACTACACATTTTTTCAAATTTTGACGAATTTTTAAAATTAAACTACCTACTTATCGTAAGGCCGTAATATTTCAGTATGATCTATAAGACTATGGTATCTACCGCCAAAAAAATAATAATGAAAATCGCCGAAAACAAACTTTTTAACACTTTATTACAAGAAAACCGCCCGGCCGATTCCTACCAAAAACTAATCAGCACGATTCCCAACCAATATCTTTCGAACAGTTTTTGTGAATTTTCAAAATCGATTCTGAATTGCGGGCTTAAACGTGGACAAAAAATTTTTCACTTTTTTGCTATTTATAAAGAAACGGCTTAGCCAATTGTCGCACAAAACTGACAAACAATAGTTCTCATCGAGGTGCATCGAATGACTTTTAAATTTTTGAAATCGGTCTAGCCGTTTTTGAGAAAACGTCGATTTACGGCAAAAAATTTGTTCACACACACATACATACATACACACACACATACTTTTTCTAAATTTGTTCTCATTTGATTCAGAATGGCTTGAAACGTCGAGAAAACAAAATTAGCGAATCGGATTTTGTGATGAAAACACAAACTTCTTCTTCGGGAAGTTCAGTATTAAAACAATTGTTATTAATCATTGATCAATATTTATTGATTATTAATTTTTTTGCTCGAATATTTAATTGTAGTACGGAAAGTTCCAGCAAATTGCCTTAAGGCACGATGCCATGCACCACTAGTTTTAATTACAATTTCGGTACTATTTTCCGACCTTCACGTTATGTAAATATGGAAAGTGCACCTTTTCAAACTTCATATTTGCGTAAACTTTGAAGATTTTAGAATTTACATCTTATTGGTATTACATTTGGTATTAATTATTTAAGTTTTTTCTAATGAAGTTGTTCAGTTGTTACTGGGATAAACTCTTCCGACCTTCACGCAGGACAATTCATGTAAATGGGGAGTTGGCAACACTGCGTACTTGACATTTCAGTAAAGTTCGATGTATAGTTGCCGGCGAATGTTTAAAGAAGCAAGAAAATAACATTTTGGCACACAAAAACATTATTTTAAGAGTAAAAAATTGTACAAAATCCGGTAATAATGGCTAATAACATTATTGAATTGCCAAATAACGTACAAAAGGCTATACGCTCCGGAATTGGTTTCGGAAAAATATCGGAATGTATGATGGAATTGGTATGTGTTTTTCATTTTGTACAATAAATAACAAAATATAACTTATTTGCTTTAGTTATTCCAACTTTTTGTGTGTCTTATCTTTTAAACTATTCACGCGAAAAAATATTGTAATGTGTAAATCGTTTCCGTGAAAACAATTGTTATTGCAATTTAAGAATAATTAACAATTTTGGAATGCTCAAAAAATATAATATATTTAATTTAAAAGTTATAGCAATCGCACAAATTCGAAAATGAAAATGTTTATATATCTTTACCTTTCAGAGGTTCTGATCATTTTGGCATACCTTAAAAAATAGATGTATGTATGTGTTTTTGTGTGTGTTCGGATACAAATTTTCGTCCACGATTTCGGGAACACCGTTCAACCGATTTTAAGGATTTCTAAAACATTCGATTTTTATTGATAAGGAGACGTGCTGATTAGTTTTTGCAAAGACAGGTCTAGTCGTTTCAGAGATACGGGGCAAAAAGTGCCATAAACGGTAACTCAGTTTTATTTTAATAAGTTAAAAAACATTTTATTTGTATTGACAAAATGAAGAACTGATTGAATTTTTGGGATGGAAAGTTTAGCTGTTTCGGAGATCTAGTAAAAAAAGTAAAAAACTAGTGGGATGTATGGCATCGTGCCTTAAGGCAAATTGCTGGACCTTCCCGTACCGTAACGAAATGTTCGAGAAATATTAAATGTTTTCAAATACATTATTATATAAATATAAATATAAATACTGTATAAATATAAATACTGTAATATAAATATAAATACTGTAACATTGTCGAATATTTATAAGAATGATATAAACTGAATTGCAAAGTTGAAAATATTTGTTCAAAGTATATTAGAGCTTAAGTCAGAATTACAATTAAAATCGGGATTATTTTCTATATACAAAAAAAAATATTTAAAAAAAAAAAATGAACAATTTTTTTTTCCAAAAGCAATTATTTTGTTAAAACAAGCTGAAAGTTTTTTTAAATCATTCAAATCGGACGTTCAGTTCTCTCAAAAACATTTTTTGCACATTTAGCTCTCTATCTCCGAAAGCGCTGGACCTGCCTAACTAATCACCACTTCTCCCCGTCATTACGAATTGAGTGTTTTTGGATCATTCAAATGCGATACTCCGATCTTTCAAAAACTCGATTTCTATTTTCTTCATTCTTTGCTCCGTATCTCCGAAACGTCTGGACTTGCCATTGCCAAAAACTAATCAGCACATCTCCCTATCAATAGGAATCGAATATTTTTTGAACCATTCAAATCGGTTGATCCGTGCGCCCGAAACGTGGACGAAAAATTGTATCCTAAACATACATACACACACATCCATTTTTTCTGATAATGAGGTATGCCAAAATGTTCAGAAACCTTCAAAACGTCAAGAAATGTAAAAATTTTCAATTTTGATTTTTGGACGATTACAATAACTTACCCTACGGGAAGTTAAATATGACATTTGGCGGTCAAAAATGATCATTAGACATATGCACATCAAATTATCAGATATTTTATGGAGATTTTAATAATACGTATAAATTTTGTTCACATTTCTATGGAATCCGTAACGTCGTTTGTCTGTTATACGGCAACGCGGCGCTTTCGCGCTTCCATAATTTGTCTCTATGCAGCTAAAGCAGCGCGATTGCTTTGAAAAAAAGTTCAAAATTTCCATATTATTTCAAAATATTAAAAAAAATATTTTTTCCGAAAAGTTTTTATTCAAATAAGTCAATTTTTTTCAAAAATTCAAATTTTTTCAAAAACTCTAGTTTTTTCAAAATTTAAAAAAAAAATAATCTTTTTTAAAAAAAATAATTTTTGATACGGGAAGTTCCAGCAATTATGAAATAATTATTTGCTATAGTCTGTAATAAGAGTCGTAAGGTATTTTTGAGCATTATCAAAATTGATATTAAGTTGTTCTATTGCAACATTTAGATTTTAAAGGATTTTTTATTTTTGAGTATGATTCTTTAACAATTTGTTATTTTTCAATTATCAATTTAATTTAAGAAAACTAATGTACCATTACTAAACATTTTTCTAGATATATAATTCCATAGATGCAGGATCTACTTGCATTGCTATTAGATTTGATTTGAACAAATTTTATTTGCAAATCCTCGATAATGGAGAAGGTATTTCTAAAGATGGCCTAAAAATGGTAAAAAATAAAGAAATATATATATATATATATATATAATGAATAGTGTGTGTGTGAGAGAGAGAGAGAGTATGGTCTATGTGTGTATGCAGTATAATTAATTTTTATGTTGAAATGTATGAATAAATTCTTTTACTTACGAGTTTTACTTTACTTATGAGAGGGCATAATATCAAGTGAAATAGAGAATGTAAAGATTTTAAAACATCTATATTATTTCATATGTTTTGACGTACAATTCTACGTCATCATCAGCGGATCTACAATTTGAATGGTGCAAAAACCCCCAATTGCAAATTAATATGAGCATGAACAAATAATATAAATGAATTAAATACTTAATTGTTCGTGTAAAACTAAATATATGGTAGAGCGAGGCTTAAAGGCTAGCGAGTTAAAAGGTTCACCACCGATACCTCAAGACGTAAAGTTAAGAATATTTTAACAATATTTGAAAGTGAAGGGAAAAAGGTGTATAACCAGCCTTCACCTTGATTTTTACGAAGTTGTTATCGGGAGAAAAACTGCAATGTTTGAAAAACCATAATAAAAGTCTTTTCTTTCATTGTTAGTTTTTGTGATCGTGAGCACTGCTGCTTAGTTTACGAGACCTTAATATAATTTTTAAGTATACATTATTTAATTGTTTTATAAGAAGTTTTGTTAACTTTAAATTATATTCAACAGTTTTTTTTACATAACCTCTATAAAAGCTTACATCTGGGTGGGGAAAAGCACCAATTGAACCTTTATCCTGCTAATGTGTAAGAAATAAGAAATAGCAAACAAAAAAGTAAATCAAGTCAAAAAATGCAATTTTACAAGAGACAAATAAAATAAATAATTATTCCAACTCTGCTGATAAATATTTCTGACAAAATACAAGATCAAGGTTATTTACCGTTTTATATCTGTAATAATTCACCCTTGAAATTTATATTTTGCATTGGTTGAATAATGTTGCTACTTTTTGGTTAAATCACTTTTGAAATTGAAATAAAAAAATGGATCTATTTGGCCTCTTATCTCACAATTTACCCTGCCTATGGGGTAAAGTGGACCAAGTTACAAATTTTTGAATTGTTTCTACAATGATTAGCTGGGATTTATACTGAACGTAGTCAAATTTTATTGGTTTGATATGTATTATTTCTGTGATATAAATGGTTTGGTTTTCAAAATATAATTGTTCAAAGCCAAATTGAATCTTTGGATATACAGGGTGACCCAGAAGTCGTCGTGAAGCCGAAACGGGGTGAAAATATTGACTGTAACTGGTAATTCTGAGGTTTGAAGTGCATCCTATAGAGGTTTGGTGAAATTGTTTATTATGTTTTGGTTATCGTAGTTAATTGCTGTTGATTACTTTTATTTATTTATACTTTGGATCCGAAACCGTGAATAGCATTTCTAGGACCACAGACAAAAAGAATGTCACAATTCCCTCAAGTTTTCATTCCCTCAAAACCTTTTGTTGAATTATGAATTTTTAAAATCGGTCGGCTTCAAGGGGCCCTTATTTAAAAAAATATACTAAAGGGTATTGGTAAGTTTAAAAAAAAAGGCCCATTTAATCAGGATTGTAAAATGGTTAAATACTTTATAGGTGTTTATATATTAGGTGTTACAATTAATTCGTAGCGTTGCACAAAATACGGCGTTAGCCAACTATTTATACTCACACATACAAAAGTAATGTTTTCATTCTTCGAATGTTTAATTACGGTACGAGAAGTTCCAGCAATTTGCCTTAAGACACGATGCCATGGACCCCACTAGTTTTGTTTTTTAACTTTCCGTAGGGTAGTTATAGTAATGGGTCGAAAATCGAACATGAAAATGTTTGCAATTCTCCACGTTTTGAAGGTTTCTGGACAATTTGGCATACCCCAGAAAAAATTGATGTGTGTGTGTGTGTTTTGTATGTTCGCATTTTTTCTTTCACGTTTTCGGGCGCACGGATCAACCTATTTGATTGGTTCAAAAACATTCGATTCCTATTGATAGGGAGATGTGCTGATTAGTTTTTGGCAGAGGTAGGTTCAGCCGTTACGCAGATACGGAGCAGAGTGCAAAAAATGGCAGTTTTTGAGAGAACGAAGCGTCGGATTTGAATGATTTAAAGAACTTTCTGCTTGTTTTAACAAAATAATTGCTATTGAAAAAAAAATCATAATTTTTTTTGTTTATTGAAAATAATTCAGATTTTAATTTTAATTCGAACTAAAGTTCTAATATACTTTAAACAAATAATTTCAATTTTGCAATTCAGTTTATATAGTTCTTATAAATATTCGATAATGTTACAGTATTTATAATAATCAATTTGAAAACATTTAATATTTCTCGAACATTTCATTACGGTACGGGAAGTTCCAGCAATTTGCCTTAAGGCAGGATGCCATACACCATTCGTTTTTGTATGTGATCATGACGTAGAATCACGTAGAATTGTACAAAAATAACTATGAATAACTATGAATTAATAAATACTGGAAAACTTGGGGTAATTGTGTAATTATTTTTGAATGTGGAACTAGAAATATTATTTACGGTTTCTGCTCCAAAGTTTAAATATACAAAGTAATAAAAATAACCACAAAAATAAAAAAAATGTCATAGTTTTACGAAAGCTGAAAGTTGTACTTAAATGCTCATAAGTTTTAATTTGCATTTGGACAATTTTAGAATATTTTCATGATTGTTACAATCACATCGTATATATGTGGATATATATATATATATATATATATATATATATATATATATCAAAATACTGAATGTAAATGTCTAGTTAAAATTTTACTGGGAATTATAATACTTCAAAGTGTCTGAAGAAGGAGACATCTTATACCTGCGAGACGTGTACCACATAGAAAAATATTTAAAATGAAAAATTGAATTTATAATATGGTGAAAAAATGAGATTTTTAGTTCAGAAAAATGAAGTCGTAAATGGTATTAGCTGCCCAGAAGAACTTTAAATGAACATACATACAATACACATACTAACACATATAAACATATAGCAAGAACGTACAATAATTTTAATTATTATTTATTGTGGCTTGCTTATGAATTAATAAATATATAAACATTTATATTCATATATATATGTATATATATATATATATATATATATATATATGTGTGTGTGTGTATATAAAATTTATAATTTATAAAATTTGTTGAAATAAAAAATTATAAAAATTTTAAGGTAGGGAAAAGGTACACGACAAGCAAATTGAAAAGTGTAAGATGTCTAGAGCAAGTTCCAAAATTTTGTGGATATAAAGGAGAAGCTCTGTGCACTATCATAGATTTGTCTAAGACTTGTATCATAACATCTAAACAAGAGCATGCTAAAACATATCAAAAAATATTCTATCAAGGTGCTCATCATGATGTGTTGAAGATTAAAGTAGGACGACCTAGTAAAGGGACGTCGGTAAGAACTTTTTATAGTGTTACGTGAGATCTTTAAGTTAAGATAAAACTTCATATGACGTTCCAACATTGGAACTTATATAATACTTTATTTTAAATATATATGAAAGTAGAAATAATTTAATAATTTTTAACATTTTTAGGTTGTTATTGGAGGTTTGTTCTACAATAAGCCAGTGCGTCAGAAAAACTTTAATTTATTTATTGAAGTACAAAATATGACAACATCAATAAAAAATTTGGCTTTAATATTCCCTAAAATATCATTTTCCTTGTACGATCGGAGTAAAAATGAATATTTATTGCGTCTTGCATCTTGCAAAACAATTCCCGATAGATATAATCAGATATACAACCATAACGTGTCAAAAGAATTTACAACAATGCGTTTTAGACATTTGAGAGATATTAATGTTTCGGCATTTTTTGGAAAATTTTATTCAAATTTGAAAAATCAACAACTCATATTTATAAATGGTAGACAAGTCGAGTGTAAAAAGATGCAGAAAGTTTTAAATTCTCATGTAAATGATATTATAAATGATGGAAGTTTGAATGATTCTTTTTCGTTGGATGAAAAATTGAAGGTATGTGTATGTGTATATCTCAATTTAGGTAATGATGATGATTATTATCTCACATAGTGCTTAATAGTATGTGTCAAGTCGAATCAAGTGATTCAAATCATTCTAATCAAGTAATTAACAATCTTATAAACACCTTAACTTACAATTTAGATTCGAAAATATCGGGCCAAAGTTGTTCAAGCCGGCGCAGCGTTTGTGACTATTTTCCTACATAGTGTACAGTTTATCACAAAAATAAAACTAATTTTGTGTTTTATAGTTTTGTATAAATAAATATTTTGTAATAGTTGCGATTACCGTCCCGGGCCGTGCCCGTAATGCGTAATATTTGCTTTTGGGCCGATTATCGTACGCGGGCTATGCCCGTAATTCAAAAATTGTACAGTTTTTTCACGTAACTAAAAATACACGTGATGTTTGGAGGGGGAGGGGGATTAATTTCGAATATCACCATGAATCACCAAAGGGGAGGGGGAGGGTCCAAAAATCCTTAAAAACTCGCTCACGTGATTAATGGACGCCCCGCTAGCCATCGCACGCGGGCTCTACTCGTCATTTTAAGTTATGGGGGTAAGCCGATTGCGAGTCATCCTATTTCTGAATCGAAAAAAATGAAAAATATATTACTGTATAAATTTATAGAAATAAAAACATGAATACTAATACAAAAACTAAAATTAAAAAATAAAATCAAACACATTTACTTAAATGCAAAATAAACCTAAAAAACATATTAGAAATTAGATAACAAAATAATTTTATTTGTATACAGGAAATAATTGATGTTATCGTTATTATTTTTATATATTTAAAACAATTGTGAAATAGATTAGAGAATCAAGTGTTATGTCTTTCATTAGACAGCGCTTGTCTGACTGAGATAGAGTATGTATGAACTTAAATTTTAATAAATATAAAAGACATTTGTTTAATAATTATAAATATGAAAAAATGTACTAAATTATATGAGTTATCCTACCATTGATTCGAATGAAAATGAACCGACTCATGCGAATCATTTGATTTATCCAAATTTGACGACTTATCCAAATCATTCAACTTATACGACTCATACGAGTCATTCGACATCTGATTCGAATCAAATGATAAGATAATTAAAAAGTAATAATAATAATAAAAGAGTGCGCGTAAGGTTCGCACGCGATTGAAGTAAAACTTAATTGCTACTGTACAAAGTAGCAAATTTAAGTTAAGTAAAAATAAATACATCATATAACAATTTTGAATAATGTTTATTAGTAATATGGTAACACTCGTGAAGCACACATTTATTAGTGTCAACCATTATTCATATTTATATAATGATAAATTATAAATTATATATTTATAATAGCATTAAAAATATGTATAATATTTGAAAACAGTAATGTAATTACAGTCATGCTTCGAACATGACATAATCGGTTTGTCATTGTAATTAGCATTTAGAAATTAACTTTTATTAGAGAAATGAAGTAATTGCTGATTAGTAAATTTTATAATATTCGTTCACACAGTGGATTATGTTAAACAACGCCTATACAAATATTATTTTCGCAATTTCACTCATCATGTAATAATTGTGTTTGAAGAACTTTATGTAATTAGAATTAACATACATTCATCATACTTTTTCGCTGGCGAGATAATCTCATTTTTTGAACAGCTGTAAGATCTGTCTTGCTTTAAAAATATTTTCTATTCGAATAACTTCAAAGATTTATAGAAACTACGAATAATATAGAAATAATTTTTAATCAATTAATTTTAATTTAATTAAGTTTAATTTGTTTTATTATTTTCAAGAAACAATGTAAAATATTCTTCTGATTCAGGCATTTTTCATTGAATCAAGATTTGTACTACGATGTAATTTTAAAATGTTTATTTATCTATGCCGATTTTCTTGTTGATATCGGTACGCTTACAACGTTGATGCCGGTATGCATACAACGACAGATCTCTATTCACATACACGACGACTAATCACAATCGACCCGTATAGAAATGATCTCATCGAGAGCGAATGACGAACAGTTCGGGCGTAACGGACTTCCATTTGTACGGATTTACACCCTAGTCGCGCCTAAAGAAGTTTTACTTCAATAATATAATAAATAAGGTTAAGAATGATAACAAATTAAGTGAATTGCAATTTTGCATATATTGTTGTGAAATATTAATAATAAAATTAATAAAACATACAAATTGTTTAATAAATTTTATTAATGAAATACTATATAACCAAGTTAATTATGAAGAATGAAACGACCTATTTTTATAGACTTATTAACTTCCCGAAATTTATATTTTTGCAAGAATATCCGAATTACTTGTTTGCTTAAATTTTGTTTTCTCAACGCTCAAAGTCATTCTGAGTCGGCTGACACACTGAAAAGAGTATATGTTTGTCAAATTTTGACCATTCGTTGTTTTCTCAGAAAACGGAAGCATGGAATTTAAATATTTAAAAGCTATTTGCTCGTTTCTTTATAATTATATAATGAATGCAATTTTTTAGTCAATGTTTTCACCTACAATCCCGAACCGATTTTAAAAATTTAAAAGCTCTTTAAAAGATATTAATTAGGAATCGTGTTGATTAATTTTTGGTAAAGATTGGCTGAGCCGTTGTTATTAATTGTTTGATCAAATTTTGGACTATTTTAATGGAACTTTGCTTAGTTATCTAGTCCATGACCTAAACGAACATTCAAAAATATTATAGGCTATGCAAAGTGTTTTAAATATAAAAATTTATTTGAGATTTTAATAATATTAGCGAGTTTAGGATATTCACCGTTCATATACCGTACTGTGTTTTGTGACGTAAAATAAATACATTTTGAGAATACGAAGTAAAATTAATTATGTTAAATAAATCACATTCAACTAATACAATATCAGACATTATAAGTTTGTTTGAAAATATTTAATTATTTTATTTTTAGGAATGTAATTTTGTAAATTTTACACCAGACGATGTATTGTATCCTGTGTACATAATTAATATGGTTTGTCCGATTTATAAATTTATAGCATTTGTCAATGTGTCTAATTCAATATTTAAAATTGAATACAACGAAGTATTTGTGGACATTGTGCAAAATATTGTTGCAAAATTGAAAACTAATAAAAGTGTGCTAAATTCTTCTTCATCGAAAGGTATATTTTATGTCAAATATATTGTGGATTACAAATATTTAATTTTTATTAAGAAATTTGTGTTTGTGTGCATTGAGCAAACAACTACTCATTGAATTTGCTTTTTAGAAGATATTAAACTGAAAATTGACAAGTTGGATATTCTTGAGTTATTTCATTTTGAGGTAATTATAAAAAATATATTTATATTAAATTTTTAAAAACAACATGAAATGTGAGTTTTTGTTTCTGTAACCAATAATGCTTAAATAATATTTTATTCATTTTTGAACTAAAAGACAAACGTGCAAAAATTTCATGATTTATTTTAATACACATAGACAATGAAATTACATAATCAAATTTAGGAAAAAGCCCACCAGGAAAAATATAGTAAGAGTGACGAGGAACAGTTTTTGGAAAATATTTTATGTCAAGTTGTCGAAAATGAAGACAATAATTTGGAAAAACATGAATTCAAAGAAATCTTAAAAAAAGATGATTTAGAAGTTCAGACAGAGAATACAGAATTGCTTAGCAAACAGCAATGCCAGGAAATGACGAGTAAATATATTTTCAATAATGTTAAATAAAAATTCATAATATTTAATAAATTTTCAGACATTGCTCCTTTCAACCAATTACCTATAACAGAAGATTTTGAAGCTTCTGGACTAGAAGTAGTAAAATATACTAATTCCATAAATTCTCCTTATTTTATGGGTTCTGTTTCAAAAAGTATTGACTTTCAGCAGGAAAAAAGTGATAAAAAATTATTTCTTATCAATAGGCGTTTCGCTTTTTTGCCAAAAGGTAAAGTTATTAAATTTTATTTTATGACACATATCATTTAGATCTTTATTATTTAGATTTTGTAACTACACTCAGATATTGTAGAAAGTTTTGTTATTAGACAATGTTTATAGAAGATTTAATTTATAAAACTAGTGGTGGGTGGCATCGTATCTTGAGGCAAATTGCTTGAACTTCTCATTCCGTACTGAAATATTTGAAGAATATCAAATGTTTTCAAATATGTTATTATAAATACTGTAACTTTCATTATTCGTATTTTATAGACAAAATATAACAGCTTTTAAATTGGACGATGACGTTTAGATAAGTTTACATGAAAAGTGAATAAACAAAGTTTAATCAAGCGGAATGAAGGACCTTATCTCATATTTCTAAGAATTATATAAACTGAGTTGCAAAGTTAAAATAATTTATCTCAAGTATATAAGTGAACTTTAGAATTTTAACTGAAATAAAATTAAAATCCGAATTATTTATGATATTAAAAAAAATATATTTTTAAAAAGATATACTTTCCCCAGAAATAATCGTTTTGTCAATACAAGCAAAAGGTTTTTTGAATCATTCAAGTCGGGTGGTTCGATCTCTCAAAAACTGCCATTTTTCCACATTTAGTTCTGTATCTCTGAAATGACTGGCCTTGTCTTTGCCAAAAAATAATCACCACTTCTCCTCATCATTACGAATTGAATGTTTTTGAATCATTCAAATCAGATGCTCCGTACTCTCAAAAACTCGATTTCGATTTTCTGCACTTTTTTCTTCGTATCTCCAAAATGGCTGAACCGACTTTTGCCAAAAACTAATCAGCACGTCTCTTTATCAATAGCAATCGGATGCTTTTTGAATAATTCATACATACATACAAACTACATACACCTATACACACACATCCATTTTTTCTAAGGTATGCCAATATGTTCAGAAACCTCTGAATTTTATTTTCGATTTTTGGCCGATTACTATGACTAACCCTACGGGAAGTTAAACATTATATTTTACATACAAGTTTCATATGGGATTATAATGCTCAAAAATATTCTAGTCTTTTTAAATTTATTCAGATTTTGTAACATATTTAATAATTGAAAGCATACACCAGTTGTCTACTATTAATGGCATTGTTTACTAAAATTTGAACAGTGTGACAGATAGATGGACTTATAGATTTAAATTGAATTTAAGTTGTTTGTTTGTATTACAGAAACTTATTTATTTCTTACAGGAACTTCTCCTATAATCGATAACATGGCAGAAATTAATGAGGAAATGTGCGAACAAAATATTCAACATAATATTTCCATGAATTGCAACTCTAGTATTAAATTTGGCATTGATGTAAGTATAATTAACTTTGATTCGATATTTTAAAGCTTATAAATCTTTCGATTAATATAAATGATACATTTGGAAAATATGTATTAATAATGTATTAAGTATTCTCCGTGGTGTAATAATGTATCATCTGTTTGTTTCAGAGGAGTTTCAAAGACTTACAAATTCTAACAAAACAAAATCTGCACACGTACGAGACAAAAGTGCATAAAGCTAATAATTATGAATTGTTGACCCATCGATCATATCGTCTGTTGCAACGGATTTCATTTAACAGCAGTCTTTTTGAAAAAATACAGGTTTGTCAATGTAAATACAATTATTAATAACTAATTAAATGAAGTGTATATTGTTTTTAGGTATTAGGACAGCTCGATAATAAATTTATTGTATGTTTGTTATACAACAAAAGCACAGTTGCAGCAGATACCAAAGTTTTAGCTCTGTTTGATCAACACGCTGTTCATGAGAGAATCAGAGTGGAAAAACTTATCGATGGTAAAAATAATTATTATTAAATTCGCACATATTGACCCGCTGTACTGCTTGTAGTGTTATCGATATACATCCATTTATCATCTATATACTTGGTAACTTTTATTTCGCTCGTCAAATATGAATGTCTTGCAAAGTGTAAAATTGAATAATCTGTATTGCACAACTAGTGTAATCGCCTAAAAAAGGTGATTTTTGGGAATTTATATTAAAAAAACTACTTTATCAATCATTTCAAAATTTTAGGAATATATTTATACATGTTTTAAGAATACATAGTAAAATCTTTGAAGAAAAAAATTATAATTTTAGGAATATATTTATCGTCGATTTCCAACGGCGCGACAAAAAAATGCCCTTCACTGCTGCAGTAATTCCAGCCTTCTACGTGGTGAAATTTAAAAAAAAATCTCGTTAAACTAGATAATATTGTCTGTAAAATGAACTACGATAAAGAAAAAAAATCAAAAATTGACAAAATGACGGCGTTTTTTTAAAAAAAGTCGAATTTTACCCAAAATTTTGGTCGTTTTTGGACTGCCAAAATTCGATTTTTGATCCGATCAAAAAATCGATAGTTCATTTTACGGAGAACTATATATAGAACATGTAAAAAAAATTTGATAGTGATCGGATCATTTGTTTTTGAGAAATCGCTGCAGCAAATTCGGAAAATGCTGTTTCGAGAAAAACACGTTTAAAGATTAAATGATCGTTATACTATATACTATATATATACATACTCAAAATGGTTGGCTGTAACTCAAAAACTATATAAGATATCGATTTAAAATTTTGGTATGTTATGTTTTAAAGATATAACCTATCGAAATATGGAAAAATTGAAAATTTGACTTTTTGAAAATTTCACACTAGTTGTGCCCCTTAATATTATAATGTTCTGCATCAATTCTGTATACTGAACGCAACTGAAACTAGCAAATTAATGTAAATGCATTTACATTTTTTTCGCTTATTACTTTTAAATTTCTCGATTGATGTACATGATGTATATGTATATAAATAGGGTACGGTGATGCACAAAGGTCCAATTTTATTGTAGGCAATTATACTGTTTAAACTACATCAGAACACATAACACATATCAAACAAACAACCAATGTAAATAATCAGTAAAAATTGCTAATTATACAAAAGTATTTTCTTACTATTTTTCTAAAACTTGTCATCTGCCCCTTTTGCCCATAAGCGGGCTAAAATGGGACAGTCAGGTGGCAAACAGATTCAATGTCTTATTTTTAATTTTAAAAGGATTCCGTAAATAATAGCTACAATATTCAACCAACGCAAAATATAAACTTCATATGCACATTTTTTTACAAATGTAACACTGTATATAACTTTGTATTTCGTCAGAAATATTCATCAGCACAGTTGGAACAACTACTAATTAGTAGTAAATTTGCTTTTTTAACTAAATTAACATTTTTATTTACTATTTTTTCATTTATTACATTTTTTTCAGGGTAAAAATTTAGTTGGTCCTTTTTACCTCACCGACATATAAGCCATTATAGAGGTTATATAAAAACATCTGTAGAATCTAATTTAAAATTAACAATACATCTTATACAACATTTAAATAACGTATACTAAAAATTGTATTAACGTTTGATAAACTAAAAACAGTATTCACAACTAGGGCTTACAATACCGGGATTCCGTAATCCCGAATACCGGGATCCCAAACGATTTTTGTCCAATATGGTATTGATACAATATTGGTATTGATACAATAATACCGGTATTTCGGGATTACCAAAAATTTGTTAAAAATTTAACTTTCGCAATACACTTACAGAGTTTCCAAACGGTGACATAAAACATATTTTTTAGATTACACAGATAAAACTAATAAAATATTATTGTCCTGCGAATTACGAACAAGTTTGGAAGTAGAATTAATAGAGCAGCATCTCATGGTTTTGGAAAACTTTTCCGAGAATTTCAAAAAATTAGGATTTCACTGGAACTTAAATATCGATAAAAAAGTTGCAGGATTCAATCGTGTGCCCTTGTGCCTGTACAGGACTATTCGCAATAAATCCGTAAGTAATTAATGATGAAAAATATATCAATCTGATAATGTCTTTATATCCCGACAGTAGTTAAATTGATTTATTAACAATCATGACGATGAGAAAATAATTTATCGAGCCTCGACGGTCCTGTTTAGAATTTAAATAGTAATATTATTAAAAAATATTTAGTGAAAAATGAGAAAAATCATCTAAAAATGAATAAATCAATTTTAGACTGTAATATGTTATGCTTATGCTTGACCTTATTTTTAACTTTGCGAAGGAGAAGTTTATGCAAAAAATGCCATGGTTTCTACAAAAAATGTCAATGCTGTTTCTTAAACGTTTCAAGTCATCCTGAATTGTTTTGCATCAAAGTTTCATGAAATTCTCAATACGTGTAATAATCAACTTATCTCAAAAAAATCGTCAAGTTTTTGGAGGATTTAAAAATTATTTTAGTATGATCTATAATACTATGGTATCTACCGTTAAAAAAAACATAAAAATTGTCGAAAAAAAATTTGTTAACACTTTATTACAAGAAAACGGCCCGGCTGATCTTTACCAAAAACTTTTTTTTGGTCAGGTCAATTTCCAGGTTAAAACGAGGACGAAAAATTTTTCACTTTTCTGCGATTTACAAAAAAACGGTTCGGCCAAACAAAAAACTTGACAAACGATGGTTCTCATCGGGATACATCGAACGGCTTTTAAATTTTAGAAATCGGTCTAGCCGTTTTTGAGAATACGTCGATTTACGGTAAAAAAATCTGTTCACACACACACACACACAAACACACATATACTTTTTCTTAACTTAGTCTCATTCGATTCAGAATGGCTTGAATCGCCGAGAAAACATAAAATTAGCGATTCGAATTTTTTGATGAAAACATGAACTTCTCCTTCAGGAAGTTAAAAGCATATAAAATTATTGGAAATTACATTTATGGGCCGATTCTGCCGTAAAATAGACCAATGTTATGGCAAGACTATGTTACGTGGCAGTTTTTATATAATTGGGTACAAAAACTGTCAAAATGCTTTGTGGTTGTTGTGCAGTTAGGCGTATTATATGGAAAACCTAACCTAGAAAACACACAAACGTCAAAAAAGGAATCATATCATAACCGCATCTTTGTGATGTGGAATAATAACATACGAGTGAAGTTACATTTTATGCATAAAACACCAGACTGTACAGCATATATATATATATAGCATTTTGACAGTTTTTAGTGCCTCTTTGTATGAAAACTGCCACGTAACATAGCCTTGCCATTACATTGGTCTATTTTACGGCAGAATCGGCTCATGTCTATATACTTAATATGTTCAGTTTTTTACAAATGTTGAATAATACTCATTTTCAGACCAACGCGTTTATTTCTATAGTGAAATCTGTTCTTTGGGATCAATATCACGCCATTTTCAAGACTGGAGCAATTCATTGCGGAATTTCGAAACCTTTAATTGACATAATAAATACAGAAGTAAATTAATTTTTAATTTAATTATTAATTGTATAAATAATTGTAATTATTGCGATTTATAAATCGTAATCTTATGTAAAACAAATATGTAACAGGCGTGCAGAGGGGCTATAAAATTCAATGAGGCAATTTCTATGGAGAAATGTATGGAATTAATTTCGGATCTGGCGGGACGGCGATCACCTTTTATTTGTGCTCACGGCAGATCTAATATGGCAACGCTCGCTTGCGTTGACAGATGTCCTTTGAATTTGGTATGAGGAATTATATTTTTACATTTAATAATGCTTTCTTTCTTATATGTATACTTATTAACTTCCCATAGGGTAAGTTATAGTGATGGGTCAAAAATTGAAAATGATTTTTCTTGCATATCTTCACGTTCCAGAGGTTTCTGAACATACCTCAGAAAAAAGTGATGTGGGTGCGTGTATGTGTGGAGACAATTTTTTGTCGACGATTTCGGGCGTGTGAATGAACCAATTTGAAAAATTCAAAAAGCAATCGATTCCTATTGATAGGGAGATGTGCTGATTAGTTTTTGGCAAAGGCAGGTCCAGCGGCTTCGGAGATATGGTGCAAAAAGTGCTAAAAATTACAGTTTTTAAGAGAACGGATCAACTGATTTGAATGATCCAAAAACATTCGATTCGTAATGATGGGGAAAAGTGATGATTAGATTTTGGCAAAGGCAGGTTTCGGAGATACAGAGCTAAATGTACAAAAATGTCAGTTTTTGAGAGAACTAAGCTTACGATTTGAATGGTTTAAAAAACTTTCTGCTTGTGTTAACGAAACGATTGCTTTTAGGGAAAGATTTTTTTTTAATTCGCATTTTTTTTTTTGAATGCCGAAAAATTATTCGGTTTTTAATTCTAATTCTAGCTAAAGTTCTAAACATTACTTATATATAATACTTCAAATAATTATAATAATCTATTTGAAAACATTTAATATTACTCGAATATTTCATAAAGGTACGAAAAGTTCTAGCAATTCGCCTTAAGGCACAAAGCCATACGCCACTAATTTGATTTTTAAGCTAATAATGAAATATGTATAATTACACGAAGTATATTTATTTATATGTAACTAGTGTATGTATACAGGAACTATAGTATTAAAGGCGGTGAAGATATACAGATTTTTATGCTGACATCTATATGTAATTATTAAAAAGAAAAACTAAGTTAAGCTTAATTAACTAACAATAAGCGATGATGAATTTAACAGTCATTTAACATTTTTAAAATATACTTATATTTTTAAATATTTTTGAAAAATTATAATTAAATATAAACAACAATGTTGAATTATAAATGATGATTACTTAATAATCGGATAGATGACTCTATCATATACAATAATTTTGTATACTTTTGTATACTTTGAGCCATTATTTTGTGGAAACCAAACTGCTTATATCAAAACAAATAACACACATCAAACGAACAATCATCTCCCAGCTACTTCTTGATTGTAGAAATATGTTTCTTTTTCTGTTTTTCAAAAAATTGTAACTTTTTACATCATAGGCAGGGTAATATGGGACGGCCAGAGTGCAAACTGGTCCAATATCTTATTTTATTAACTTCCCGTGGGGTAACGTATTGTAATCGTCCAAAAATAGAAATTGAAAATTTTGCGTATCTTTATGTTTCAGCGGCTTCTGAAGCGGTTACCCTAGAAAAAATGAATGTGTGTGTGCATGTATGTATGCTTGGATACAATTTCAATTATATATATATATATATATATATATATATATATATATGCGTTTTTTTACATAGATTTACCTTGTTTCTATTTCATTAGATTTCAAAACCAAAATTGCAGAGATTAAAGCAACTAGAAATGAAACTGCAGGAATAAAATATTTTCCAGTATTAGGCCTTCATGAATTTTTAAAATGATTTTTTAATCAATGCATAAATACATGATCTGCAATAAGAAGATAATGTTACATAATTACAATAATAGTTATGTATAAATATTTTTGATACAATTGATAATTAATTTATACAGTTAATTAATTAAAATTATTTATTAATTTTTAATTAATTAAAATTATTTCAATATATTAATATATATAATTAATTAATTAAAATTATTTTTATGTATGTAGTTAAAGATGAACTATATACATAAAAGCGAAAGTAGATGTATGGTAAAAAATCATGTACTAATTTTGATTCATTTATTATAAAATTAATGTAATAATTACAATCAAGATTTTTAGTGTCAGATAAAATTCAATCGAAAATCGACACATGATATTGAACATCTTAATTTTCAGTTTTACTGTAGTTCGAAAATTGGTTCTTGTAGTTCGAACAAAAAATTAGGATCTAAGCCCAGTGCATCCGACGCCGGATAACTATTTTAGTGGAATGTAACCATAAAACCTATATGAATTAGGATAGATCCATGTCATGATGTTATCTCGAATATATAATATTTAAATTAAATAATAATAATAAAAAATAATAAAATGCTAGGGTCAAGTTTTACGTTACTTTACGCTCATTTTGCGTTACAATACGATAAAGACTTGACAGAAAATATGTTACAAGAAATACTGGCGTTGTGTGCACCAGGCCAGGCTTTAGATTAGAGTTAAAATTTAGTATATAAAAGCAAGTTAGATTTAGTTGGGTTTCCAAATAAAGTACAAATAAGTTTGTAAAATGTATTGTTAGAAGTTGAATCATTTTATTTAATATAAAAAACAAATTTGTTTTAACAAGAATTATATATATGTACTAGATGACTATATGACTATATGATGATATACTAGATTATAATTTCTAATTTTCATTTTTCTTACTAATAATTTAATAAACATTATTATTTATGTTCAAGTCTTAGGTGAATTAATTTGTAAAATCTAATTCATATGAGTACTCTTTAATCTAAGATCAACTTCCTAATATTTCATATCCAATGCCAAAGAAATGAATTTTTGACACCTGAAACAAAACAAACATTTTTTCAATAAGTAGAAATATTTTTTTGTATTGTTAAATAATTTAGTAAAGTAAACCAAAATGTGACACGCATAAGTTTAAAAAAAGAAATGTGTTTGCAATTTTGGACTTATTGCTTTATTTATTAAACTGAATTATATAATTTAATCTGCCAAACGATTACTGTATCTTATATTATTTTAATTTCTGTTCAGCTGCTTTTTGGCATTAATGATGTCGACATTACATTTTTCTTGTATATTATATTCTATCTAGGCTCATAATTTCAGCTAAATTCAAATTTCAAGTGAATCGACATTTCTAGACGCAGATGACAGTTCAAATGTTTTCAATGTCAAACAATAATAAGTGTTTTTTTTGTAATTTTTGCCATTTATTAATACAATATTACCATAGTTTTATCGCTCATTAATTCTTAAAAATTTTTTTTGACAAACTCTAAAAAGAATGATCAAAATCCGAATAACCGTTTAGGAGAAGTATTAAATCATACACGTGTATGATTTGATACCTGTATGATGTACGGGTACCCGTACAGAAGAATTTTATATATAAGAATATACATGTTCTTAAATTTAATGAAATTAAATTGAATAAATTTTTTAATTAAATGCATTTTTTTCAATTAGTATCCCTGCTGCAACTGTCAACAGACATTGAGTAATAATTTTAATTGAGTAAAATGATAATATAATATTTGTGATGATATTATTTCTAGTCGGTTTTTATTATAAACTTTATAATATATTTATGTATTATTAACTTCTCGTAGGTAAGTTATAGTAATCGCAAAAAATTCGAAAATGAAAATTATTATATATACTTACGTTTCAGAGGTTTCTGAACATTTTGGCATACCTTAGAAAAAATGGATGTATGTGTTTGTGTCATAGACCTTATATACATATGTATTATATAAGGTCTATGGTTTGTGTGTGTGCGTGCGGATACAAATTTTTGTCGACGATTTCGGAAACACAGTTCAACCGATTTCAATTATTCAAAAAGCATTAGATTGCTGTTGATAAGGAGACGTGTTGATTAGTTTTTGGCATAGGCAGGTCTAGCTCTTTCGAAGATAGGGGGCAAAAAGTGCCACAAACGGTAACTCAGTTTTGAAGAGAACGAAGCGTCCAATTTTAATAATTCAAAAAACATTTTACTTATATTGACAAGATGAAGAACTGATTAAATTTGCGTGAGGGCAGGTCTAACGGTTTCGGAGATCTAGTGAAAAAAGCAAAGAAAAATGCCATTTGGCGGTCAAAAATGATGATTAGACATGTGCACATTAAATTATCGAAAACTTTATAGAGATTTTAACAATAAGTATGAATTTTGTTTACATTCCAGTGGCGCCGGAACCGTGTGTGCTGGTGGGCTGAGTCCAGCCATCAATCTCAAAATGTTATATTGTCTAAAATGTCTAAAAAAATGCCTTAAGAAAACGAGCTCACCCATTAAAAATTGCTTCCGACGCCACTGTTCCGTTTATCAGTTACGGCGACGGCGGCGCTTCGATATTTTGTCTCTCTACAATTAAAGCAGTACAATTGCTTTGAAAAAAAGTTCAGAATTTCAAAATATTTCAAATTAAAGAAGAATCTTTTTTTCTAAAAAAAGTAATTTTTTGTCAAAAATTTAAAGTTTCTCAAAAATCTATTTTTTTTTAAAGTAAAATGTTTTCAAAAATGTTAATTTTTTTAAAAAAAATATATTTTTTGCTAATGGAAGTTCCAGCAATTTGCTTTAATAGAAGATAGATAAAAGAACAGTATAATGTATGTATGCATATGTATTTTATAAATATCGAATAGCATATCGAATTATCGAATACTGTCATAGGGTAGCCTGATGTGGATAAATTTGATGTCGGGCAAAAACGGATTGTGTGATTGCGCAACCCCGTTAATTCTAATTCGTTTCATTTTCAAACAGTGGTACGACTGGTGTGGTGTCTGAAAATGAAAGTTGACAATGCTTTGACAAACAACATAATATGACATTTAATATGTATTTTTAAAAATAATTAAAATATGTTTTATACTCAAGAATGATGGATGATTTCAAACATAAAGTATTAGGTTTTATTCATAAACAGGTATACAAATTTGTACTGAACCTAATTTTTTTTTCCTGGTCAAAATTATTTTTTTCTTCAGGGTGTAAATGCCAAAATTCCTTCAATGGGATTTTCTGATTCATATGCTTTTGAAAACAATACAGAATCTCAGATTGTTAGTGTTAATAGTAAATCTATTGCTGCAGAAGATCAACCTGATGATCAAGCTGTATTGGATAGTATTAAGGATGTTTATTTCCAAAATGATGAAGAGTTTGATGCCAGGAGATATGAATTGGATGTAAATATTACAAGCTATTTATAAACATTTGTACAACTTTAACAATACTGATGTTTGAAACATTTCCATGTTTTGTAGGTTAATAGTTTTATTGTGGCATTTAAAGTTGAATCTGTCGTTGCCAATAAATTCATAATTTAGTGCAAAAAAAGAATTGTGATTCTGGTTCATGCAGTTTTAGTATTGACATTTGATAGTTATGATAATTTATATTAAAATGTCTATATTGATTGTGATACATTACAGTAATACTCATGTTAGTTCTTTTGCATTTAATGTCTTTTTGTTTAATGCTATTTTATTGCATTTATCTCTAATACATCTTATATTTAAGCATTGTATTACTTGATTTTACTTTTATCATAAATATTTATTTTAGAATTTACCTGAACACCTAGAATGTGCCAGAATAATGCAAGATTTCTCTAAACTCAAACTACAACATCAAGTAGTGTCAAATAAAGTATTGCAATTGATATTGCAAAAGCAAACTGATTGCAATACTGAATTTGGTAAAGTACTTCAAATTCAAAGGGAACTGGAAGAAACGATAGATATTTGTCAGAAAGGTCGTAACAGCTTGTCTCTTGCTAAAGTCCAATTCACAACTGCTAGTCTAGGAATATTAGCTAATTATAGGAAGAGACAACTAGTCCAAGAATTACTGCTGTCTTTAAACACTATTCGAAATTTGGTAAATATATTTTTATAAAAGTCAAATGGTTTGCTTATTGCATGAATGAGATATAAATTATAAAACATAAAAATGAGTATATTAAAAACATTTTCTTCTTAAGTTTTTTCAATTTTTACTCACAATTGAATTAATCTAATAGCAAAGCACTGAGGCAAGGATTCCTGAAATGTTGGCCAATGGGAATTATCCAGAGGCAATTTCTCTTTTACTTGAATGCCAGGAGGAAGCATCACACTATCAACAATTTACTTCTGTTGCAGCTTTAGCCAGCAAGTTTCAAGATTCATTAGTTATGGCTGAAGAACAGTTGGATGTTGCTCTTGGGAAGGTAATTGATATTAACACTTTACTGGTTGCTGACATAGTACTATATCACTTTTTGTCTGCTAACCAATAGCCGTTGACATAGTAATATGTCATTTGTATTTGAATTGCTGTAGCTGCTGACGTAGTAGTACATTCTTTAACTGAGTAACTGTGTTTGTGTTGTCATCATAGAGTCGAGTTATTTTAACTCCTTACTGGCCGCTGATGTAGTGCTATGTCATTATTTGTCCGCTATCCAATATCTGCCGATGTAGTAATACGTCACTCTTATTCCAATTGCTGTAGCCGGTGACGTAGCAGTACATTCTTTTACTGAGTAACAGTGCTTGTGTGGTCATCATTGAGTTGATTTAAGCTTTTAATTAATTATATATATTGAAATATTGACTATTTAACATGATTTATAATGAAACAACAGGGTGTTGAATATAATAATATTTGCTAATAATAATAGTATATGCCGATATATTATCTGAAGATGAAAATAATATAAGTGAAAGTGATGAGTCATACATTATTATTAGTGAAAAAGTTTTACCTATTGAAAGTGATTCGAAGGAGAGCGATTCCGATAACGAATTTAACAATGTTACATTTACATCATGGTCCAAAAGTGATATTGATATGGACATAAATGAATTTTTAGGTAATGATGGTATTAAAGTTTTTCCAAAGGATTCGAAAATTATAGAAAATACAGTAGATTTGTTTAGTGGAGGTGATTTTTTTGAATTACTTGTAAAGGAAACGAACAGATATAACTTTCAAAATGTCAATAAATATAAATTTGCAAAGACGATAAAACAATGGGAAGATACCACAATAGGCAAAATTTCTTGCTTTAAATATTTTAATGGGATAGGTGAATAAAAGCAATTTAAACGATTATTGGTCTATGGGTTTACTTATCAAGACACCAATTTTTGGAAAAGTTATGTCTCGAAATAGATTCAGGCAAATATTACAATCGTTACATTTCTGTAATAATGATAGAATATTAGAAAATACACATAGGCTAGTCAAAATCAAACCTATAATAGAATATTTATTAAATAAATTTAATACAATTTATAAACCAAAACAAAATTTTACATTGTATGAGGCAATGGTACCCCATAGAGGCCGTCAATGATACCCCATAGAAGAGTTTCCAGGTGTACTACCCAGGCATGAAATCGAAGTACGGGATGCTTGTCAGGATGTAGTGCGAATCTGAAAGTGCCTATATCACAAGAAGTGGGCAGAAATTACAAAACCTTGTAGAAGATCTTTTAGAGAACTATGTAAATAAATGGCACCAAGTTTACATGGACAATTAATATAACAGTGTGGAACTGACGGCAAATTTACTAGAGAACAAAATTAGGGTATGTGGTACTATAAGGGAGAATCGTGATTTACCTAATGATATAAAAAAAAACAAGTTAAAAAGAGGAGAACATGTTTTTTACACAAATAGCGAAATATTAATTTATGTATGGAAGGATAAAAGGTATGTCAGAATGATCATGACGATACATCAGGATCGAATTATGGAAACAAATAAAATTGATAGAAAAACGGGAGAAACAATTAAAAAACTTCAAACGATCATATATTATAATAAATATATGAATGGTGTTGACTTGGCAGACTAATATCTTTCCTACAATTCAATTATAAGAAAAAGTGTCAAATGGACAAAAAAAGCTTTTATGTTCATGTTAAATTGTGCATTGTTCAATTCATTTGTAATTTACAAAAAATTGAATCCGAATAAAAAAAATAAAATTTAGCCCTTTTTTGTTGCAAGTTGCTGAAGATTGGATTAATAATAAAGAAAATGTTTCCCTGGAATCAAAAATTTCTGAAGCTCCGCCAAAAAGAGTTTGTCGGGAAGATCCAAAAACTAGACTTTCAGGAGATATGAAAGTACACAGGCAAGTTTGAATTGTCAATTCATGGAAGAAAAAATTTCCACAGAAACGGTGTAAAGTATGCCAAATACACGGCAAAAGAAAAGAAACCTGCTATATGTGCGAATATTGTGAGATTCCTGTATTTATTGGAAAATGTTTTGAAAATTATCACATTAAAAAAAATTATTAGTTTTCAATGTATATTATCTTTTGTAATAATAGTTATATAATAAATAAACTTATTATTCATTTATTACTTTTTTCTTATGATTTTAGATATTACATTTTTACAGCTTTATATTAAAAAGAGTCCGCGTAAGGTTCACACGCGATTTAAGTAAAACTTATTTGTTACTGATGGCATTTAAGCAAAAATTAATACTTGATATAACAATTTTGAATAATATTTATTAGTAATATGGTAACACTCCGGATGCACACATTTATTAGTGTCAACCATTATACACATTTATATAATTATGAATTATATATTTATAATAGCATTAAAAATATGTATATTTAAAAGCAATAATGTAATTAAAGTCATACTTCAAATATGGCATGATCGGTTTGTCAATGTAATTAGCATTTAGAAATGAACCTTCATTAGAGAAATAAAGTAATTGCTGTATAATAAATTTTATAATACTTGTTCACACAGTGGATTATGTTGAACATCGCCTAAGCAGATATTGTTTTCGCAACTTCACTCATCATGTAATTGTGTTGTAAGAACTTTGTGTAATTAAAACTAGCATATACTCATTGACTGCTTGTATTTTTTTTTACTTTTCACTGGCGATATAATCTCATTCTTTGAACAGCTGTAATATCTGTCTTGCTTAAAAATATTTTCCAATTTAATAACTTTAAAGATTTATAGAAACTACAGATAATATAGAAATAATTTCTCATCAATAAACTTACGTTTAGTACACGGCACAAATATTTAATTTGTTTTATTATTTTCAAAAAACAGGGTAAAATATTCTTCTGCTGGTACAGGCATTTTTTTATTAAATCAAGATTTGTACTACGATGTAACTTTAAAATGTTTATATATCTATGTCCATTTTCTTGTTGATATCGGTACGCATACAATGTTGATGCCGGTGCGCATACAACGACAGAATTCTATTCACATACACGACGACTAATCACAATCGACGCATATTGAAATGATTTCATCGAGAGCGAATGACGTACAGTTCGGGCGTAACGCAATTTCCGTAGCATTTGTACGGATACTAGGGTGTAACCCTAGTCGCGCCTAATGAAGTTTTACTTCAATAAATATTATTTTCTTGTTCAACCAGTTAGAACCTAATGATATTGATTCAAACGTGATTCATAATAAAAATCGTATGGAATTGTGGGTTACCTAACAATATAAAAGAATAAAGTTAAAAAGTGGTGAGGTATGTCAGAATGATCTCGACAATACATCAGGCTCTGCTTATGGAAATAAATCAAATAGAAAAACTGGTGGAGTAATTTAAAAGCCAGAAACTGTCATATATTGAATATGATATGGATGGTGTTGATTTGCCAGATTAATACAAAAAAAGCTTATATGTTTGTGTTGAATTGCGCATTGTTTAATTCATTTGTAATATACAAGATATTGAATTGAACAAGAAAATAAAATTGACCTCTTTTTTGTTGGAAATTGGATTAAAAATATAGTAAATGTTGATCCAAAAACTAGACTTTCGGGATATCCAAAAACAAGACATTCAGGAGATACGGAAACTCGTTGGATAGTAAGAATACATAATTTGGGGAAGAATAAGTTTCCACAGAAACGATGTAAGGATGCAAAGTATGTCAAAGTCACAGCAAATGGAAAGAATCTTTCTATATGTGCGAATCTTGTTAGAGTATTTTATGTGTTAAAAAATGTTTTGAGGATTATCATATTAAACAAATGTTTAATATTTCTATGTATATTCTTTTTCTTTGAATACTTATATATGAATTAATATATTGTTTTGTACATAACTTTTTTTCTTGTGTTTTTCTAACTTATATTTTTACAGCTTTATAATAATATATAATATTTTTTCTTGCTTAACCAGTTAGAAATCGATGATATTAATTTAATTATGACGCATAATAAAAATTGTTGCGGCTTTCGGGAATATTTCGCGGTAAATAATTATATTTGTAGCTTGTATTTGTTGTTGATATTAAATCTGTTCAGAAATAAATGGTATTCTTATTGAGAATCTGGTTGAGAATCGCATATTTGCATTGCATTCCAAATAGAATCAAATCAGAAAGTTAGATTTAATTAAATCTTTTGTATAATTTACTGATTTAACTTGTAATGCATTTGAATTTTATATTTCAGATTTGTTATATGTTCGATTCTAATGCTTATACTAAAATTCAGGCAGCTTATTTAGTACTAGGTAAAACGCAAATAGCAGTTGATCAATTGCATATGCATTTTACATCAGCTATTCACAGTACAGCTTTCAGTGTTGTTTATGGCTATGCAGAAAGACCAGAAGTTTCAAAGCAGGACCAAAAAAGACAGTACAAACAACTTTGCCAGGTATGTTATGGTCAGTCATAGAGAAAATTATATCTGAACGCATAACATGAAAGTTGAAATTTTAGTGTGTTTCTTCTGAAGATTTTATACAGTGCCTTGTTGATGTGTGTAGATCACTTTGGACCATTTTAGCTAGCTATCATAAAGTAATGTCTTGGCATCTAAATAGTCAAAATACTTCAAGTGACATTAATACAAACTATATCCACACAAAGCTAAATAGTGGTCAGTCAAAAATATGGCATGATGTACAAAACAAAATTGCAATATTTCTCAGTAGTGCGGATCTGGTTTCCTACAAAATTGAGCAGTTTCTGCAGGTTTTGAATATTGTACATCGGTGAGATAGTTTATCTAATTGTCGACCAGCAGTCAGTCAAGCTTATATTATTTCTGGCAACATGAGGTTGATCAACTGCTGGCTCTTGGCACATTTAATTTATATTGATTTTGAATTTATTCTGATTTTACTTAATAATAGTTTAATAGAAATAGGCGAAGAATTTTGTGGAAGCAAATCTGAAGAACTATATGATTTGATCAGAAGACATAGCATAAGTTATTTTAAAACTTATCATGCAAATCGGTTGGAAGAACTTCGAATATTTCTGGAGAATGAGAGTTGGGAATTATGTCCTGTGAAACAAAGTTTTAATATATTGCAATTACAGGTATTTCATAGCAATAAAAATCTCACTTTTTATTATTATTAGTGTTATGCTTGAAAGCTGGCATAAGAGTACTGTTGTATAGGAAATAAACAATATTCTCAATTTTTAGGAATTCAAATCCATGCCGCATATAATGAAGCATTTCAGACATCAAGAAAATGGTAGTAATAGAAATGAAATAGAAATAACACAATTGGGAGATGTTTCATCAGTGAGTGACAGTTGTTCTTCAAATCACTCTCAAGATGGAAGCTTTGCAAGTGGTCACTTTTTTATGAGATTTAGCATGAGAGGAACACCATTTGATTACAAGTTAGATGATACAATTAGTGAAGAGGATTTTTATGCCATACCTGTAAAGTTTTTTTTAAATATACATTTATGATATGTTTTACTTTTCTTTTGATGATTATACTATGTCTTTTACACAGGATGAAGCTTCAGCTTACCTATCTGAAGACAGTGAGGAACAAGAAACTGCATTTAGTGATGAGGAAAAGTCTAATGATAATATGGATTTGCATAATTCATCAGCATTACTAACTAATACAACTCTTATAGTATTACGCCATTGTAGCCGTTATTTGCAAATGTCTCGTCTTTTAAGATCAATTGCTTTTGATATAATAATTTCCATGTGTCGACTGTATGATTACTATTTATTTGCAGTTCATACATTTTTTGCTACTGATTCAGTAAGAATAATGAAATACTTTTAAGATTCTATAATATTATTAAGACAGAACCCTAAATCAATTTTCTTATTGGTCAAATATTAATCTGTAACCATTATTACAGAGTGTTTCAAATACTTCTTCGTACACCACTGTTCTAAACAACACTTTGAAACGAATACAAAGTAGCCTCATCAATGAAACTTCAAACAATTCCCAAGAAAATTCTAATTTTCAAGAAGTACCTCGTGATAAAGTGAATAAACCTGAAATTTTATCACATGTAGATTTGAGTGAACCTGAAAATTTATATGGACTTGCAAAAAGAGTTATTGCAGTAGAAAGCTTGGTTTTTCTTGGAAAGCAATTCAAAATGTTACAGCCATATTTAGAATCCTTGGTTCCTAAGGAAAATCATTATCTCCTCAATCAATTTTATGCGGAGGTGAGCAGTTGAAAGAAATCTGGTGGAAGATGTATGTGGTGTTTTATAATTTTATTTTGAATATTTTAGAGTATAAATGTAGCAGTAGATCTGAGAAAACCTGTTTATATGTGTGTTGTTGCACAAATTTTTGACTTACCGCAAGCTTTAATATCTATATCTAAAGTTAATTGGGAAGTTACTGATGTTATGATACAGCATAGCAGTTATGTAGATTCTTTACTAAGGGTGAGTTTAATAAAATGAATGAACTCAATAGAAATTAAGTCATAATTATTTATGGTACTGTTGAGCAATGTTTTTTTTATTATCATATTTTGTTTAAGGACATCCAAATTTTTCTTATGAGATTAGAAAATCTTCCAATCAATTTTGTTATACCAGTCGAAGTTATAAAAACCTTGTGGGAAAATATTGCACATGTAATTACACACACACTTGTTGAAGGGTATGTATGCAGTATTTATATGATTTTTTTATTTTATAATAATGAACATATATATATATATATATATATATATATATATATATATATAATAAACATATATATGTGTTTATTAATAAATATAACTAATACAGGAGTTCTATATATTTATTGAATCAGAAATTCAAACCATTATATAGTTGTAATTAGATTGATATTTATAATATTATTTCACTTTTTTTGACAGTTTACAGTTATATATATATATATATATATATATATATATATATATATATTAACATAATATACACTTTCACATCTCAGTCACTTTAATGATGAATATTGTTTTAATAGGTATTCCAATGTTAAAAGGTGCTCCACTGGAGGGAGGGCTCTAATGCAATTAGATTTTACTCAGTTCTGGTCAAAATTAGTAAAGTTATCAGGTATTAAATCACTTCCTCATAAAGATTATGTCGAGACATATGTCAAAGCGTACTATTTATCAGAAACAAGCCTGGAAGAATTTATTACTGAACATAAGGTAAAATAAACTACGAGATTTTCTTTTTTTATTCATAGTGTTGCTAGGTTTTTATTTTTGCTATTGTTAATATTTCTTAAAATTAAAATATACTTTATCCAACAGGAATATTCTGCAAAACATCTTCTAGGTCTGGTCACTTGTATACATTCCAATAATAAAAAAGCTAAATTGAAACTATTAAGTATTATAGAAGATCTGGAAAGAAGAAAACAAAAGGTTTGAAATAGTATCATTTAGTTAGTGATATTCATTGTTGAATCAATACGTATAATATTAGAATCTCAGTTGCAATCGAATATATTTCATAAATAATGTAGTATGTACATAAAATGTTGTATTGACCAAGTATTAATGTGATGCTATAAATTTTAGCATTATGCAGCCACTATAAAGAAACTGATTTTGTTTATTTCATATAAATTATTTAAGAAAAACGTTTTATATAAATAATATATGTATTTATTATTATAACAGATTAAAATAAAATTTATTTTAAAATATTTTACTGCTTACTATATTATAAGTATAAAATTCATCTGAATTGTTTCTTTACAGATAGTATTATGTATTTAAAAATGTTATTGAAGGAAAATATATATTATTCATTGGTGTTGTAATCTATAGATTTCTAAATACACTATAGCATTGAATAAGCAAAGCACACACATTTAATAATTAATATTATGTCTAAAATTTAAATTATAAATAGATGAGATTTGGTATAAGCAATGAATTGATATTTTCTGACAATTTCGATTTTTTCCCATTTAATTCATGAAATCATTAGTAAAACAAAAAACCAACAAAAATATACAAAAATTTAAACGCCTTAAACTCAAACTTTTTCATCTGAATGACAATTTTTCAACTAAATTTAAATAAAGTTCTCTGAAAGAGTTTGCACTGAATATTCTAACTGAAAGCAGAAGCATAATCTATGAATCCTTTTCATGACAAAAAGGGTATATAGTATACATCAAAGTTTAATTAATTTTGAAACATTATCATTTAAATGATGATTTAATGTCACAATTGTGACATTAAAGATATTTGACATGGACAAAAAGGTTCATGGTATGCATCCTGGTGTAGATGCTCATTCACATATTTCTTATATGTACTTTTCATATGAGCGTATATTTTAAAGAACAATGGATTGTTTATACCTATTTTAATACCGCCTTGGTATAATACCGACTAAAACCTCCGCTTTGCCCTACAATTTTGACCTGCGTCAATTTTGTCTTGGCCTGCGTTCAATGGAAAGAGAAAGGGCAAATGGGACTTCGCACAATTATAAACTTAAGGTAAGAATTCTAACATTCTAGATTCTCCCCCCACGAAGTAATGCCTAACACCGGTTTCCGTGGGAACCAGATGCAGGGGCAAAGCGGAGGTTTTAGTCAGTTATACCAGGGCGGTATTGAGTCCGATATACTCAGACAAAACACCAGCCTGGGATGCATAAAGGCATTTCCTTTGCTATATAAAAAAAATTAATCGTTAAATTAATAAATTTTTGTATTACAGAAAAATAAATATATATATGATATCGACCATCCCATACCATCTTCACTTATGATAATGACTAAAATTTAAAACTCTCCTATATAAAATAACTTCATGGTCATGTCAAAACACGATAGTGTTTTATATGTCAAAATTGAACGCGCATAAATTTTTAAACTTTATAAAAATATATTGAAAAAAAAACATATTGACGGTTATTATATACAATAAAAAAAGAAATTGTTTTAATTCATTAGTGTTTTATTTACCATCTAGAAAATGTGCTGTTAGTTAATCAAGAAAGGAGAAATATATATTTGTGAAGTCAAAGGTTATGTTTATGGTATGTCAATGATAATATTAAACTCGTTTTCATCGAGGCTTTTCAAGTATTTCAAAGTTATATATATATATATATATATATATATATATATATATATATATTCATTTATCTATTTATTTATTTATTAGCATAGTTTATTAATCGGCGTAACATCGATACTTTTTTATATGTTTATGTCGATATGCATATGTATTTCTATATTGTATTCATATATTATATGTAGTTGCAAATAGTTCTTGCATTTTTGCTAGCCCTGGAATTTTCAAAAGATTAAAAATCTACAAAAGATTAGTTTTTTGTCTGCTTGAATATGGCATAGAATGATATTTGAGATATATTCTTTCAACAAATCTTCATCATGAACAAGTCAAGTTAATGCTAAATCGTGATTTCATCAGCGTTTATTTGGCTATATATACCATGCACACATACACACACACACATATATATATATATATATATATATATATATATATATATATATATATATATATATTAATTTGGAAATATGAACAAACAACACTCTTTTTGCACTAATTTATTAAATAATAATTTTCACAAACGTTACGAGACTAGGTTTGTCTCATCATCAGTGTGTTATAATTTAAAATTTAAAATATGGAAATCTAAATTAGCATTTTGTGTTATCTACATCACAAGTCGTTTGATACACTGTATTTGATACACTGTATTTGATACACTGTATTTGATACACTGTATTCGATGGATAACACAAAATGCTAATTTAGATTTCCATATTTTAAATTTTAAATTATAACACACTGATGATGAGACAAACCTAGTCTCGAAACGTTTGTGAAAATTATTATTTAATAAATTAGTGCAAAAAGAGTGTTGTTTGTTCATATTTCCAAATTAATATCTATTATCCACTCAGAATACATTTGTTATATATATATATATATATATATATATATATATATATATATACATATATTAATGTACAGTAATCTCGGTTATATTTCTTATATTTATTTACAGATCATATGATGGTTTCTTTAATATACATAAAAGAAAAAGAACATTGAAATTACATACATGCTTTTTATTAGCACAACAAAACACTAGGAGAGAAATGCTTCCTGTAAATGATATTTAAACTATAGCCAAGATATATATTATTAATATATATAGTGTCGATATATAGAATGCCATCGATAGACGAAAAAGCAATTTTATATTTACATTACACCTTACGTGAAATGAAATGCAAATATGTAATAAGGATTATCGACATTAGGTTCTCATGCTAGTTTATAACTCAGTATTCTCAGTATTCAAATTATAGCATACTACTTTAGATGTGAATTAATGACTCAAATATGTATTTATATAATAGATATAATAAATCTGTTGTAACTTTTAAATCGCATGTATGATGTACAGAGAATATTTAAATAACTTGTGCGAAATTAAATAACCTATAATATATTTTAACATCACAAAGCTGTACAGTAATTCGGTATATAAAGAAGCGAAAAGAATAGATTTTAATATTTAATAGATTTCTATAATAAATAGATATTATCTGTAATAGCAAAAAAATGAAAATAAAGTTTTTAGTATTTCTTTTTGTTTCAAGGCCTTCTGAACATTTTGGCATACCTTAAGAAAAATTTATGTATTTATGTATGTGTGAAGTATGTGTTTTGTGTGGATACCAACTTTAGTCGAAGATTTCGGTAGCACGGATTAACTGATTTGAATGATTCAAAAAACATTCAATTAGTAGATCAGGGAGACTTGCTGATTAGATTTTGGCAAAGGCAGGTTCTTCTGTTTCGGAGATACGGATCAAAATGTGCAAAAATTAGAGTTTTTGAGAGAAAATATTATCCAATTACAATTATTCAAAAGTTTTACTTGTATGGACGAAATGAGGAATTGATAACATTTTTTTGATGGCAAATCCAGCTGTTTTTGGAGATGCAGAAAAACAAAGAATAATATTTACAAATTAATATTATTGATTGATGTACAAATAGAATTATCGATAGAGAGGTAGAAATGTACACGTATAGACAGGTAGAGAGCTAGAAAGATAGACAGGTTGACAGGCTAACAGGTAGGCAGGTTTAGTAAGGTAAACAGGTGGTCAGGTGTACACATACAAATCGTTCAGGTAGACATATAGAAAGATGGTCAGGTAGACAGGTAGTTCATATATAAATAAAACTATTATTGATTAAATTGATTATTGAGACATATGGGGAAGTTCATGCTACTTGCTTCAAGACAAAATACCACTTACAACTCAATATCAATTCAATATTGAAATATAACCCTTGAAATTTAGATTTGAGATAAGTCTTTTTTTTATTATTATCCAGAAACCTGAAACACAAACGGTGTTTTCGCCAGAAAATCCGACTCGCTAAATTTATATCTGAATCAGGATTACTTAAAACGACACTAAGCCCTGCAATAAAATTATGTAATACTTTAATAATATGGCATGGTATTTAAAGCATGATAATATAACTTGCTGGATTTATAATTGGTTTACGTCTTGAGATTTTTTCAAAAGTAAAAACACTTTTAATATCCACTGTGTAAAATTTTTAACTTCTCTTAGGGTAAGTTATAGTAATCGCAAAAAAATCGAAATTTTATTTTCGATATATCTTTACGTTTCAAACGTTTCTGAACATTTTGGCATACCTTACAATTAGAAAAAAATGAATGTATGTGTATGTGCGTCGACGATTTTGGGAACACCGATCGACCGATTTGAGTAATTCAAAAAACATTCTATTCGTATTGATAAAGAGACGTGCTGATAAGTTTTTGGCAAAGGCAGATCTAGCCGTTCCGAAGAAACGGGGCAAAAAGTGCCAAAAACGGTAACTCCGTTTTTAAGAGAACGGAGCGTCCGATTTTAATCATTCAAAAAACATTTTACTTGTATTGACAAGATGAAGAACAGATTAAATTTTTGGAAAGGCAGGTTTAGCGGTTTCGGAGATCTATTTAAAAAAAGTAAAAAAAAGCCATTTGGCGGTCAAAAATGATCATTAGAATTAATCATATGCATATCAAATTATCGGATATTTCGTGGAGATTTTAATATTGTGTATCAATTTTGTTACATTTATATGGGTTCCGTAACGTCGTTTGTCCGTTAGACGGCAACGCGGCGCTTACGCGCTTTGCTATTTCGTCTCCATGCAGCTAAAGCAGTGCGATTGCATGAAAAGTTCAAAATTTTAAAAATATTTCAGCATAAAAAAAAGTTTTCCAAATTCCAAAATGTTTTTCCAAAAGTTTTCTTTCAAAAATTCAAAATTTCTCGAAAACCTAATTTTTTCAAAGTTTAAAAAAAAATAAATCTTTTTTTAAAAAATTAATTTCTGGCACGGAAAGTTCCAGCAATTTGCTTTAAGGCACGATGCCATACCCGCTAGTTAAATTTTAAATTTGGAAAATAATAAATAAGGGCAGTATAAAAACGCGAATGAAGTATCAGAATAATCGTGATGATATAAAACTTAAAAAAGAATTGTTAAA